CCGGCAAGCCTGACTGGGTCAGTGGCCCTGCGGGCCTGAGCGCCCCGAGGTTTCTCCCAGCCGACTGGGTCGGTGGGAACCCCCCCGGGTTGCTCTCGGGAACGTCTCGGTGAACGACCAATGAAGGATGGACAAGATGTCCACCCCCCCTGAGAGCTGATGTAAAAGCCGATGAAAACGGTTCCTCCTCCTCCTCCTCCTCCTCCTCCTCCTCTTCCTCCTCCTCCTCCTCCTCCGCCTCCCTCTTCCTCCTCCTCCTCCTCCTCCACCTCCTCCTCCTCCCTTTCCTCCGCCTCCACCTCCCCGCGCATCGGGCGTGCCCCTCCGGGTCGTCACCGCACCGTGCGCTGTGCTCCGCTCGGAACGACGACTAAAATACGGCACCTCACTGCGCGCGCCGCAATCACTTCCGGGCACCGCTCCTCAGCCTCGCGTGTGCGGCCCTCTCGCGAGCCGCGGCGCAAAGGTCGGCGGGAAACGAAAGGGGGGGACAGCATTTGGTCGGACCTGTCCCCCTACAGGGAGATTTTGAACGAACAATTAAGAGTACTCCAAAGATACCCCCAAGTGGTCAAAAACTCATCTAATTAGCCTGGCGAAGGACCCAACCATATGCAGTTGTGAATACCGTCGTTGTGAGTACCGCATTATGTGGCACTCTTTATGGGCCAAGAAACGCTGTCCTGGGTGAGGGAGACGCATGCGAACTGTACCGCTGGGCCTTCGGCGGGGCTCCCTATGGGGCTACGAAACGCTGTCCTGGGCGTGGGGGACGCATGCGGCGCCCCCCACTGGGGCCTTCGGTGGAGCCCTATATGGGGCCACGAAGCGCTGTCCTGGGCGTGGGAGACGCATGCGCCCCCCCCCCACACTGGGGCCTTCGGTAAAGCTCCCTATGGGGCCACGAAACGCTGTCCTGGGCGCGGGGGACGCATGTGGCACCCCCCTCTGGAGCCTTCGGTGGGGCTCCCTATGGGGCCACGAAGCGCTGTCCTGGGCGTGGGGGACGCATGTGGCCCCCCCCACTGGGGCCTTCGGTGGAGCTCCCTATGTGGCCACGAAACGCTGTCCTGGGCGTGGGGGACGCATGTGGCGCCCCCCACTGGGGCCTTCGGTGGAGCTCCCTATGTGGCCACGAAACGCTGTCTTGGGCGTGGGGGACGCATGTGGCCCCCCACACTGGGGCCTTCGGTGGAGCTCCCTGTGTGGCTACGAAACGCTGTCCTGGGCGTAGGGGACGCATGTGGCCCCCCCACTGAAGCATTCGGTGGAGCTCCCTATGGGGCCACGAAACGCTGTCCTGGGCGTGGGGGACGCATGTGGCCCCTCCCACTGGGGCCTTCGGTGGAGCTCCCTATGTGGGCACGAAGCGCTGTCCTGGGCGTGGGGGACGCATGTGCCCCCCCCCCCCACTGGGGCCTTCGGTGGAGCTCCCTATGGGGCCACGAAACGAATCAGCCATGGCGATGCCGATGATGACGATGATGGTGATGGTGATGGTGATGATGATGGTGATGGTGATGGTGATGGTGATGGTGAAGGTGATGATAATGATGATGATGATGATGATGATGATGATGATGATGATGATGATGATGATGATGATGGTGATGATGATGATGATGGTGATGATGATGATGATGATTATGATGTTGTTGTTGATGATGATAATGATGATATGGGAGGAGGGGTGAGCTGAGAAATGCGAAGAGCAAAGACAAGGATTGGGGAGGAGGGAGGAGAAGGAGAGGAGGAGGTGGGACGCGGGGCGCTGTCTCTTCAAAACGAGGACCCAACACCACAGGTTGGTTGTGGAAAAAAGTCGTCCCCAGACTATGTTTTACTATTTTTGGATCTTCCCACTGTAGAGGGACGGGCCCGACTTAAGGATAGCAAAGGGCAGGGTAGAGAATCAGCTCACGTAGCTGATTCTCCCAGCGCCTCCCGGCGCCGGAGGCGCCCATGTGTCGAGGAGGCGGCCCTGCGGCGGGGCCGGAACCAGCTGCACGGAGGACTTCGGAACCCCTCCTTTCCCTACCCCCCATTTCGTTCGGCCCGACAAGTGATGAGCGTGTTCTGCGCCACCCTACGCGGATACGTCCATACTTCGAAGCGTTCCACCATCTCTGGAACCTAACTGGCACTCCCCACTCATTGATGAGCGCTGAAGGCGCCGTCCCCGCCGACGACCCCAAGCCGACACCAGTCGCGGGCAACCACCTCGGGCCGAAGGCGCTCGAAACCCCGTCGCGGTGCGCCTACGTCACAAGGGTGACCCGCGTCAAATGGGTGGGGTGATAGCCTCCGCCCCGCCCGATAGCCCCACCCCACCTCGCCCTCAAGAGACCCCCAGAACACTCCCGACCACAAAGAGGCCTCCAAGAGGCCGTCGAAGAGACCACAAGAGGCATCTGAGAGGATTCTGGCCAACAAACCAGTCACGGTAGAGGCTTGGGCCGAATGCCACTGGACAACGAACGCAGAGTGTGATATTCGCTGCAATGAGCAATGCGTAGAGAAAGAGAAAGACGGCGTACAGTCAAAATCAATAGCAAGGATTCGGGACAAGGATGCAATCCCCTTGGACGCCCATGCCGAAGCTTCTCAAGCGGGGCTGACCATCGAGAGCGGTCAAGGATGGACTGAAGAGGCAAGTATGCAAGGGCACCCTTGGGAAGATTACCCAGACATCCAGCCGCTCCAATCTTTTCGATGCGTGGGCCATGAAGGCCGGACCACCTCCCTGGGGCCGGTGCTTCGTCCCCAGTCGTTTGTTCGCGCTCCCGAGGCTCGGCGATGGCCCCCTGCGGCCCAAGATTGGCAAAATCCCGCATTTCCCTTTTTCTTCGGAGCGTCGGATCTCTGGGCATCCATCCTTTCCATCGACAGCGTCGGATCTCTGGAAATCCATCCTTACTCAGAAGCCAGGCGATGGCTGGCAAACCCGTGGCTGCTAAAACGGAGCTCCGGGAAATTATCTGTTCTTTCGGGAAGCAGCCCGATTACCATATTTCGTGCGCTGAGGTTGATTCCGGGAATTTGTTTTGCTCTTCCGGGAAGACCGTTTCAGCAGCCGTAAATTTGCCCTCCCTCGCCCAGCGTCCGGCTTGCCATCCTTGCCATCGGACCACTTCCCTGGGGCCAATGCTTCGTCCCCAGTCGTTTTGTTCGCGCTCCCGCGAGGCCCGGCGAGGGCCCCCAAGGCCGAAAATCGGCAACATCCCGCCGCTCCCCTGGGCATCAACATCGGCAAAATCCCGCCGCTCCCCGCCGCAACTTGGGAGCGTCAGATCTCTGGGCATCCATCCTTACCATTAGATCGGGGCGTGTCCTCCTACAGGCGGATTTCGGACGATTGTGTAAAGACATGTCTAAAAAGTAATCGTAACTTCGTCCCCAGATTATTGTTTGCGTATTCTTGAAGATTCCCCCCGCAGAAGGACAGGCTCGACTTAACCTTACCGCCGACTTCGACTGCAAACTTCTCGGACGCCCGCGCGGATCTGCCGGATCTGCGCCGGGCCCCTCTCGCCCCGGTGCGCCCCGCGGGGCCTCAGCGCGGATCCGAGAGCTCTGGGCGGAGCCCTACGCGTTGAAGTTTGTGCGTCCTCCCTCGCCCTCGAAGAGTGCGACGCCCGCCGCCAGACAACTGCTAAGACGAGGCCAGGACGAGGCCAAGCTCGGGTGAGGATGAATCGGGAATCTCTCGGATCCGGCAGCCCTGGAGGACGTCTCGGGCGCAGCGGCCCTCTCGGAGCGTTCCTGAATCCTCTGAGAGCGTTCTGGAAGGCCCTGGATCCGAGGCGAGAATTTACACATGACCACCGCCTGGAGGGTCAGTTGTCGGAGCCTCGGCAGGCGGTGGATCTGGACATCTTCGGGCCCCCAGGGGCCGAAATATATCCATATGCGCCGCCCGCTGGGGCACCAGGACGTTGGTTCCCAGGCGGTGGCTATGGATAAACCAACGCCTCGCACTGGAACGGATTCATTATTGTCCTGGCCACGACCGATGACGTCCGCCGCCGAACAATTCGGTGCCAAGACTTGAGCAGGGACCGACCGTCCCGGCATTCCTACAGTCCTACCACGCAATGCTCTCGGAACCCAAAAATGCTCAAAGAACAACAATGTTCTTGGAACGCAAGCCCGATATGATAAAACAGGACAGACTCCGCCAGACATGTTCTAAGAACATTTCGTGGAAACCACAAAAAAGGTTCTTACAGTCGGCCCGGATTAGTAGGCCGACCCTGCCAGCTCAAGGGCACCCTTGTGTCCTGTGCCTCGCGACGAGTGCCTTCCTATGTCCTCTCGCGTCTCCTGTCCAATCAAGGCCGACTGCAGAACATCGCTTGGCAGGACTAATCGGCGCGCCAGGACGCCTCGCCACTGCCTGAGAAAGACGGCGCGGCAGGGCCCCGGGCTTCAGCTCCAGCTCCGCCGCCGGGGCAGCCAATGTGCGCGGCCGCCTCGCGGCCACGAGCGGCTCGCCAACCCGGGTCACCCAGAGGGGGTCTTCGCAGGATCCTGCAGGCTCCGGTGCCCTGGCTGACCCCCGTTTGCACTGACCCCCGCGGGTCTCTGATAGGCCCCGATCCCAGACCCCCGACGTCCTGATTTTTCCATGACGCGATCCCCAGAGGTCTAGACCCACTCCCCGGGACCGGTTTTTCATCCTGAGCCGTTTTTTGACAGTCCCGAGGCCCGGTGAGAGCCCCCAGAGGCCGAAAATAGCGAAAAACACCTCCCGCCGTGATTTTCTCATGACCCGAGGGGGTCTGGGATGATCGGCGCCTCCCAGCGCCGGAGGCGGCTATGCATCGAGGAATGGCCTCGGTGAGGCCAAAACCAGCTGCATGCAGCAAATTTCGTACCCCCCCCCCCCCCCTTCCCCGATCCCCCCCTTTCGTCCGGCCCGAGACGATCGCTGCCCCCGCCCCGACCGGCGACGCCCGCCGCCAGACGCTTCGGCGCCTTATAAGGCGGCGCGGCGGGGCCCCCGGCTTCAGCTCCAGCTCCACCGCCTGGCCCTTGAACTCCGCGGGCGGGGCGCCGGCCAGGATGACCTGCCACGCGCGCCCCGCGGCGCCTCTTTTGTGCTGTGCGTTGATCGCCGGCGGCGGAGCGCTCCTCTCGTGCATAATTGAAGGGGGCCCCAGGACACACAAGTGAATCCACACAAATAAAAGGATTCCCCATATTTTCCCACCGGCGGCGGAGCGCTCCTCTCGTGCATAATTGAAGGGGGCCCCAGGACACACAAGTGAATCCACACAAATAAAAGGATTCCCCATATTTTCCCATGTTGTCTGGGTCTCCGTCTTCCTCCCCTCGTCCCATATGTTCTTATATCTTCTGGGGAATCGAGAATGAATTGTGTCTGTGTGTTTCTTTTCCTCCTGATCTGCGTGCTGCGCTTTGATCGCCGGCGGCGGAGCGCTGCTCTCGTGCATATACAAAGGCAGCTTGAGGGCGGGCCGGTCCCCCGACAGGGGGATTTTGGACGAAAACTAAAACAAATGCCCTAGACATACGCCAAAATGGCCCAACAAATACACACACAAAAAAGTCCCCAGACTATTTTTTTACTATGTTTGAATTTTCCCCCTGTAGAGGGACAGGCCCGACTGAACGCCCGTGCGTCTCTCTGTTGTTTTAATTTCCGGCGGCTGAGCGCTCCTCTCGCGTGTACAATACAAAAACAGCTGCTCTTGACAGGCGCGCTTGAAAAGGCCAATTCGCCATGACTCGAAGCGCCCAGAACGCGACGCCCCGCTCTCCAAGATATTCGGCGGCCGAGTCATCGAGGCGAGTCCTGCGCAGAAGCGCGCCCGACCTTCGATCACTGCCACACCTCTTTGGCGGCCGCGGCGCTCGGTGCGCACGCGCGCTCCTGACCACCGCTGAACACATGGGGTACCTTGGAGAAATTGATGCCAGCTCGCGCCACCCAAGAAACCGTGGGCAAATAGGGGAACGAAACGTGGCATAAACAAAAAAACTCGGAGGTCCGCGCGGATTTCTCGGATCGGCGCTGGGGCCCCCCGGCGGCGCCTCCTGCGCCGCCCCTGGGCGCGCTCCGCGCGCCACGGAGGGGGGTCCAGCGCCGATCCGAGAAATCCGCGCGGACCTCCAAGTTTTTTACCTAACAGCGAAGACTGATAGCTTTCTAGTGGGGTCAAAAGAGAGCATCATGACTCCTCAGGGGGGTCGGGGCGGGACCCCGGGCGGGACCCGGCGCGGCTGCCATCGAAGCCCAAATCGGTTGGGACATCCTCGCAAAATTGCTCTTGGCGCTGCTAGAACTCCATTCCCGGCGTACATTTTGGATGCCCGGAGCCAACTGTAGGCCACTTCGTGCTCTTCGACTTCCCAGAACTCCATTCCCGGCGTACATTTTGGATGCCCAGAGGCAACTGTAGGCCACTTCGTGCTCTTCGAGTTCCCAGAACTCCATTCCCGGGCCACATTTTGGATGCCCGGAGCCAACTGTAGGCCACTTCGTGCTCTTCGAGTTCCCAGAACTCCATTCCTGGGCATGATATTGAATGCCCGGAGCCAACTGTAGGCCACTTCGTGCTCTTCAAGTTCCCAGAACTCCATTCCTGGGCATGATTTTGAATGCCCGGAGCCAACTGTAGGCCACCTCGTGTTCTTCTAGTTCCCAGAACTCCATTCCTGGGCCACATTTTGAATGCTGAGGCAGGCTGATGCTGCGGCCGAGGCAGGCTGAGGCTGAGGCAGGCTGAGGCTGAGGCCGAGGCTGAAGGCAGACTGAGGCTGAGGCTGAAGCAGACTGAGGCTGAGGCTGAGGCAGGCTGAGGCTGAGGCTGAAGCAGGCTGATGCTGAGGCAGGCTGAGGCTGAGGCTGAGGCTGATGCAGGCTGAGGCTGAGGCAGGCTGAGGCTGAGGCCGAGGCTGAAGGCAGACTGAGGCTGAGGCTGAAGCAGGCTGAGGCTGAGGCTGAGGCAGGCTGAGGCTGAGGCTGAGGCAGGCTGAGGCTGAGGCAGGCTGAGGCTGAGGCTGTGACTGCGACTGCCGTTGCCACTGCGACTGTCATCGCGAATGCGACTACGACTGCGAGAACAGCAGAATTCTACAACTGGATTCTCATCTGAATCTGAAGGGGAATGCTTCCAAATATGCTCCTACACATCGCTGTTAGGTTGCTTTGCCGGGATAATATGTTTATGTTACTTTTCGGATTCCTAGCAAAGGCTGATCAGTTGGTTGGCGCCCTGTTTGGGTTTGACGGCGCGGGCGAGGAACTGCCGGAGCAAGTCGACGTCGCGTTTGGCGAGGTCGGCCGGGGAGCGCCCCACAGAAGCTCGCGCCAAAGGCGGCGGGCCCGGCTGAAGCCGTGCTGCACCCATATCCGCCCAGACGTCCGGCCGCTTCACTTCTTCCGATGCGTGGGTCCCGCAAGGCCAGACCACTGGCCCCGGGCCGGTGCTTCGTCCGGAGTCGTTTTTCCACGCTCCCGAGGCCCGGCGAGAGCCCCTGGCGGCCAAAAATTGGCAAAAAATCCCGCCGCTCCCCTTCTTTTTGAAGCGTCGGATCTCTGGGCATCCATCCTTACCATCGGGAGCGTCGGATCTCTGGATATCCATCCCGAGGGGCAACGATAGGGGGGGGTGGTCATGGGGGGGATTCATCGACCTGGAGTTGAAGATGCATTGCCGATAGATCGGCGATGGGCCCACGATAGTGCATCCGCACCTTCCTGGGCGGGGTGGGGCAGTCGGGTCCATATCGGCGATCAGTGGGCGATTGGGGGTCGATGCATCCCCCCCTATGCCTACCCCCCCATCGTTGCCCCCGACATCCTTATACCATCCTTACCATCGGACCACTTCCCCGGGGCCGGTGCTTCGTCCTGAGCCGCTTCTTGCTCGCGCACCCGAGGCCCGGGCGAGGGCCCAAGGCGACCAAGAGGGGCCCTTAAGGGGCCTCCAAGACTGCCGCCCCCTGCAGGAGCCCAGACGGGGACAGAGGTGAGTATCGTTTAATCGATCCCCACCCCCAGCGGAGTGGCCTGGGCCCCACTGGCCGACTTGCCCCCCTATAGATGGGGATATGGGTCGTCCCCTTCGGGTCTCGAGGGGTGCATCCCCAGCTGGGGTGGTAATCTGGTGAGGGTCTCGAAGGGGATGGGGATGGGGATGGGGATCGTTGAAAGGATACTGAAGGGGAGACTGTCCCCTGCAAGACTGCCCCCTGCAGGAGCCCAGACAGGGACAAAGGAGAGGGAGAGGAAGAGGGAGGAGGAGGAGGAGGAGGAGGAGGAGGAGGAGGAGGAGGAGGAGGAGGAGGAGGAGGGGGAATGGAGGAGGGGTATGGAGGGGGGAGGAGGAGGAGGTGGAGGTAGGAGGAGGGTGAGGAGGAGGAGAGGAGGAGGAGGAGGAGGAGGAGAAGGAGGAGGAGGAGGAGGAGGAGGAGGCAGACGACGACGACGACGACGACGACGACGACGACGACGACGACGACGACGACGACGACGACGACGACGAGAGGCAGACCCCCGGTGCGACGCGGAAGCGTCTGCTACAAGCTCCACGGCGCTCTCTCTCGAGCCCTGGGACGCGCGGCGTGCCGCACGCTGCGGCATCCCCCGTGCGCCCCCCGAACAGTAGCCGCCGCGCGGGGTGCTGGGCTGGCGCGGCCGCGGGACCTGCCGCGGGCGGCTGGACACCCAGACTTGTTTGATTCGCGGGTCGAGAGCTCACCTCTTCCGGTCGAATGAAGCTAAGCGGGCCGCGCGAAGCTTGAATTCACAAAGAGGGGGAGAAAGGGGGGGGGGGAGAGCGCAGCCGCAGGGCGCTGGACACCCAGACAATATGCGATGCCGAACTTCGGGTGTGGCTAGAAGTGCCCCCTGGCCCAGGGTGCCACTGGGATTCTCGGGGTGGCCCAGACGGCCTCCAGAGCACCCCTCACGAGGCCCAGAGGGCCCCAGGGGGCCCAAAGTGATGCGAAAAGCTGGGGGCACCTCGGGCCAGGGGCACTTCTAGCAACACCCGACATAATGTGTCGGCGATCTGCTGACCCGGGTCAGTCCAGACCCGGGTCAGTCAGGCCTTCCAGAATCCTGCAAGATCCTGCACCCAAGCCCGGGTCAGTGCGACGGATCCTGCAGGATCCTGCACCCAAGCCCAGGTCTGTGCAACCCTGGCCCTGCATGATCCTGCAAGAGCGGGCGCTCTGGCTGACCCCCGTTTGCATTGACCCCCGTAGCGAGGCTCCCGACGATGTCTAATGTGTTTCCATACCCGTGTCCCCGGAAGTCTCGACCCCTTCCCCGTGGCTGGGTCATCCCGAGTCGTCTCTCGACGGTCCCGCGGCTCCGCGAGGGCCACCCGAGGGCCGAACACCACAAACAACACTCCCGTCCTGACTTATCTCACGACGTGAGCACGGCGAGATACACAGCACGCATGGGAGAACGGTGCACCCCTCGCTCCCCACCAGGGTGTAGACAGACTTCGCGAACTCCAGCGCCACGAAGTTGTGCTCCAGCGCGGAGGGATTGTTGAGGGCCAGCTCGTAGTAGCAGCCCTCACTGCCCAGGCTTCCGGGACGACAGGAGACGCCACATGCACACACCAACACAGTCGCCGTGCTATTACAAGGACCGCTGAACAAGGAACGAAGAGGCTTTTCTGGCCACGGCGAACCTCGGCCCCGAGTAGGTCCCCACGGCATGCTCAGTATCAGAGGGGCTCCAATACAAACACCTCCTCCTCATCCTCCTCTCCTTCTCCTGCTGCTCCTCCTCCTCCTCCTCCTCCTCCTCCTCCTCCTCTCGGGCGCACGCTTGCATGGATTACGGATCCGTGGATCTGGGCCGTAGGCGCCCATCCACGGACCGCGGCGAGCACCCTCCGAAACATGAAGCTCATACCGCCTGATGCGGCGACGGATCGCTCCGATTCTGCACCGAAACGGGACCTGTCGCAACTCACGCGCCGAAATCCATGCTTGCATTTTCTCGATCCTAGGTCTCCTCCATCTCTCCGACTTGCCCAACCTGAGGGAGGAAAACATCGACCTGGTTTCGGCGATGCATCCTCGATAGATCGGCGATAGGCCCCAGATAGCAGATCCGAACGTTCCTGGACGGGAATGGGCAATCGGGCTCCTATGAGCGATGAAGGGGCGATTGAAGGACGATGCATCCCCTTTTCTGTCTATTCCCCCCTTTCGCTGCCACTGACAAAGGCTCGGCAGCGAGCGAGGGGGGGAAGTGAGAAGGGAAAGGCCCTCAGAAGGCGGCGGCACTTCTCAGAAGCCTTCCAGTCTTCTGAGAAGTCTTGTCTTCCGGGAAGGCTTTTAAAGACTCCTCAGCAGGGCGGGGGAGACCCTCGGAGAAGGCCCACCCCTTCTCACTTCCCCCTGGGCTCGCCGTCAAAATAGAAGAAGGAAAAGCGCCGTAAGCATAAACTTGTGGCGCCCCGCGCGCACGAGTTGGATCTGCGCTGGAGCCCCCCTCCCTGGCGCGCTCCGCGCGCCAGGAGCGGCGCCGGAGGCGCCGCCAGGGGGGCCCGGCGCGGATCCAAGAAATCCGCGCGGAGCGCCAGAAATTTGCGTTTATGGCGTTTTTCCTTCTTCGGCGAAAGTCCGGTTGACCCAAAAGGGGGTTCAGCTGAAAAGGGCTGGTGCGATAGACTTGGTGCAATAGATTTATGGGGTTGCAATAGATTTGGGGCGTGCAGCACATTCTGGTGCGCAACTGTCTTGCCGGATCTCCGCGTGCCATACATCTTGGTTACAGCGCAGTGAGGCACGATCCTCTGGTGCAATACGTGTGCAATACGACTGCCACACATCTATTGCACCACCCCCCTTGCAGCTGGACCCCCTTGTGGGCCAACCAGGGCAAGGCTGCAAGGCGGGGATTTATCCATATCCACCGCCTGGGAACCGACGCCCTGGTGCCCCAGCGGGCGGTGGAAATACATATATTTCCGCCCCCGGGGGCCCGAATATGTCCAGATCCACCACCTGCGGAGGCTCCGAAAACTGACCCTCAAGACGGGGGATATGGATAAATTCCCGCGTCGGAACGGCGCCCCTCCGCGCCTGGACCATGTTCAGGGTCTCCGGCACAAACTTCAGGCCCTCCCCCGACGGCCCCATCGTCACCGTCATGAGGCTGTCCGCAGGGCACCCCTCGCGGGGGGCACGGGTCTCTGCAAGGCGGGAGCGCCTCTGCCTCCAGCCATCTCGGGCGGGAGGGGGCCGAGGAGCAGGTCGGGCGCGCTCCCCATACAGGCGGCTTTTGGAGGTGAAGATAAAGATACTCAGAACATGCTCAAGCAAAGCAAAACGAATGTCAAACGTTCTTCCCCGAACTGTGTTTCTATGTCTGCATGTTCCTTCTGTAGAGCGACAGGCCCGACTTAAGCCGAGGAGCAAAAACCTTTACAGTGGAGGCCAGTCCACAAGAAGCCTCCCACAGGAAACCCAACCCTGAGACCCCAGGGCGTCCGTTGATTCGTAGTGTGGGAGCGTCGCGCTCTCTGTCGCAAAACCATCGACACCCGAGAAACCCAGGGCACCCTGGAGGCAATCAGGGTGCTTCTTGGCACGGGTGGTTCCACTGTATCTCCGCCGATCCGGCGTGTTAGGTTCGAAAAGCCTATGGTTACAGCCTGGAGCCTTAGAAAGCAGGGGCATCCCAAGAGAAGACCCCATTTTCTTGTCCGGCGCGCGCTGGCCGAGCGTGACGCAGCAGGAGGCCGCGCTCATAGCGCCGAGGCGCCGTGCCCAGGACAGGCCACCTGCACCGCATTGGGGGGGGAGAGGGGAGGGCCCCCACGACCCGGGCCAGCACGGGGGGAGTGCGCGGCAGCGGGATGGTGGGGGGCGCTGCCTCCGCGAACGTCATCGGCAACGCCCACCCAAGAGAAGACCCCTCCGAGAAGGCTTCTCAGAAGCTGGGCGGGCGTCCGAGCGCTCCAGCTCTGCTGGCGGGGGGGTCGCCGGGGCGGCTCCGCCGGGGGAAGGGGGGGGTGGCCCCCCTGCTGCGCCGGTGCTCCGCTTTGCTCCGCTCTCTTGGGTGGCCTCGGACACGCCATCGGGAGGAGGAGGAGGAGGAGAATAGGAGGAGGAGCAGGGAAAGGAGGAGGAGGAAGAGGAGGAGGAGGAGGATGGGGGGGGAGGAGGAGGAGGAGGAGGAGGAGGAGGAGGAGGAGGAGGAGGGGGAGGAGGAGGACCTCTTAGGCCCTGCACAATCGCGGAACGATCGGGCCCAGAGCCCCTAGACAGGTAGCAAAAGCGCCCAGGACGTCCCAAGAGGCCCCACGAGCACCCCTTATAGAGGGCGCCAAGAAGCAAATATCATTCCATTTCTTTCGGGAAACCTATCTTTCTAGCATGTCCGACTTCTCTGCGGGCCCCAAACCACCACCAATTCCTCATCCCTCCTCTACCCTCATCTTCCTCTCCTCTCTCCTGAAAGAGGAAAGGGGGTAAGAGAGAGGTGGTGGTGGTGTATCCTTGTTGACCCCGGATTCTCGGCCTTCACGACGTCCAAGACGCTCCAAAAAGCTTCCAAGACGGTCCCAGGGACCCCCGGACACCGCCCCAAAACGCCCCGAGAGTCCCGAAACCACCCAATATGCTCCCAAGACGGTCCAAGGAAGCCCCAATATAGCGCCAAGAGAAGCCCCAGAACTGATAATGCTTGCCTTCCGCCCCAAGATACCCCCTCGATGTCCCAATAGGCCCCCCAGAGCCTCCAAGAGATCCCCATTAGGCCCCCCAAGACGGCCCAAGAGGCACCAAAACGGCGCCCAATAGGCTTCAAACACTGCCTCCAGAAAAACCCCAAGAGCCCTCCCGCGACGTCCCCACGAACATCCCATAGGCTTTTCATGATCACCCACAGCCCATGCACGGTGGCGGCATGGGCCGACGGCCATCAGATTCAGGTCGGGCGTGTCTCCCTACTGGCGGATTTGTAACGAAAGTGAAAATACCCCAAACATGCTCAAAAGCAATCAAACAATTGTCGAAACATCGTCCCCATACGATTTTTGTTGACTAGATCTGAATACTCCCCCTGTAGAGGGACAGGCCCGATTCAACATTAGATACTGCCCCACGGTCCCAGCCCAGCTCGCCCCTCTGAAGCACAGTTAAACGGGAGAAAAACGACGGGGTAAGAGAACACTGCGAGAAAAGAAGAGCCCGCTGCCGCCCGCACATTCTTTTGTCCCGCAAGCATGCGGCCCCCACGAGTCGGCGGCATTGGCCGGAGGCCATCACAACAAGCAGGAGCTCCCGAAGGTCCGAAAGCTCATGCTTGTGCAGTGGTCTCTCCCAGGGAAGGGGGGCAGAAAGGATAGTGCACCACCCGTGCTTTACTCAGGGGACGACGAACGGTATCATATCAACGTTTCCACCGTCTGGAACGCCTGCCCCAGGGCGGCTGGAAGGGTCACACCAGTCATACCCCTACAGCGGCACGTCGGGGTACAAACTTTCCTGCGGCCACAGGGCAGGCGTGACCGACGGCGGAAAGAACTAGCTTATACAGTCACCCTGGCATCATGAGGATGCACGATATAAGGCTGCAAGGGCCCTGGAGGCCCATGTGGACGTTGTTTCGAACGAGGCTGGCCAGCGAAAGCCGCCAAGGATAGGCCGAAGGGGCGAGGATGCAAGGGTACCCTTGGGAGCCTTGGGAAGGTTGCTCATCCTTACTATGCGGGTTGACTGTACCGCTCTTCGCCCGCTGATGCTCGGGGATAGGCAGAGCCCCTTTAGCAAAACGTGGTTTAGCGAAAACGACCTCGGGCACAAACCTGGCGGGCGCGAGCCAGGATGATGACGGCCGAGGCGCCCTCTTGAGAACCGAAAACGGACAAATCACTCATCGATGTGTCAGGTTGGGGGCTCCATCCACCCCCGACTCTTCTGGGCCTCCGAGGAGGATACGGAGAAGAAGGAGGATGAGGAGAAGAAGGAGGAGGAGGAGGAGGAGGAAGAGGAGGAGGAGGAGGAAGAGGAGGAGGAGGAGGAGGAGGAGGAGGAGGAGGGGGGGAAGGAGAGGAGGAGGAGGAGGAGGAGAGAAAGGAGGAGGAGGAGGAGGGTGGGGACTCTGTCCACCCCCGAGATTCACATCGGGCAGGGGGTATGGTGCACGCCGCGGGTTCGCCGCGCACCACGTGGCGGCGGACCCCCCGGAGCCGGGGGGCGCGCTGCTCTTGGGAGTCAGCCCTTTGGGGCCTCTGGCGCGGGGGGGCCCTCGCAGCGGCAGATCCCGCGCGGGGGGGGGGGAGAGGTATGAACCTTGATCCCGGACCATTTGGCCAATGAGATCCGCCTAGGCCACCTAGGCGATCCAGGGATCTATGTTATCTGGGGGGGGGGGGAGAGGGAGAGGAGAAGGAGGGAGGAGGAGGAGGAGGAGGAGGAGGAAAAGGATGGGAAGGAGGAGGTGGATTAGGTGGGGGAGGAGGGTGGGTTAGTCGGAGGAGGAAGGGAAGGAGGAGGAGTAGGAGGAGGAAGACGACGACGACGATGACATCGGAGGAGTAGGAGCATTCTTGGGACATCAAGACCTGGGGTTGCTTAGATGTGTGGGCCACTTTGAAGATCTGCCGGGCTCCTCTGTGCCGCTCTGAAGCCCGATGCGTTACAGTCGGATTTTATTAGTAGGTCGACCCTGCCAGATGAAGGGTGCCCTTGTGTCCTGTCTATCCCGTCCCACGTCCTCTGCGCGTCTTCTGGTTGTTCAGGGCCGCGTTGTCCTCGGAAGAGTCTTGTGTCCTCTCGGGTGTCCTGTCCAATCAACTTCGACTGTCTGTTTGCCAGCATCGTCGTCATCATCGTTACCTCCGTCTCCATTTTGGCTCAAGCGGTTTCTTACTACTGGGAACAACATCATCGATACATTTTGCAAGTGGTGCGCCATGTCGACCTTTCGCTGTTCAGGGATTCTCGGTGTGGCGCGACTGTTTGCTGCCAGGCATTCTGTGGCGCTGCAAGAGGTTAGCGGCCGCCGCGCCCAAGCAGCGTATTATGATAGCCTGGAAGAACACAATATGTTGCAAGATGCGTATGTGAAATATCATGTTATGAATCAGCAGGGTGAGGCTCACGATGTAAGGGTTCGCAGGTCCGCAGCTGCAATCCTTACGAAGTGCAAGATAAACGAGGAATACACAGACCCTCAGACGGTCCTCTGTCTCCGCATCATAGACAAAGTCAGGGCGAAGTCATTCGAACGACGGATGGCCGCCGCAGTGTGTGCCACGATCAACGGCCGTGTCTTTCTGAAGGAATTGAAACTGCCGGGCGACGGTTGGACAGGCGATCTGTTTTGGGAAGCTGCTCATACTTTAGTGAACAAGATTGACCCCGAAGAGCTTTTCACCGGCGCCTTCAACCGGCAGGCGTTCAATTCGTGGACCAAACGTGATCTGGCGAACAAGCGCATGCACAGAATCAGAGACAAGTTGAGTGGTGATATCAATTTTGACAACGCATCGCGCCTGGAAGTGTCATTAGACCTTGTAAGAGCGTGCGGCAAGTTCTTGGGCAAGAACGCCTTTTCCTTGTTGGAGCAGTCCTACGCGAACAACTATCGCCGCCCCGGGTGGTGCTCGCAACACGGGTCGCTCATGGGGCCCGGCGCCTTGGCGGGCGTCAACATCATCAACGGGACATGGAAGCAGAGCGGGACGGGCAGCACGCAGCTCGGGGATGTGTTGCAGCAGTTCGACGACTCCCACGCTAATATGCAGAAGCTGCGCCGCTTGTTCCGGGAAGATTTGCAGTCTCTCCAGGTGTTGGTCAAGAAGACACGCGGCGCGAAGCGGGCCCTGGCTAGGGAGCTATGCGAAGCCGTGGAACACATTCTTGGTATGTCTGACACGGGCTTGCAGTTCGTGTACTGCGAGATAGCCAAGGTCGTCACGTTCCACTACAACCTCCACAAGCGGTACTGGCGCCTGCGCAAGCTGCGCGGCGACGCGGGCAATGCGGGTGGCAGCGACGCCGAGGACGGCGACCACGGGAGCGACAACGACGACTGAGCTCGTGGCCCAGCGATGTCTGTCAAGCAGCCGCTGCGCCTGGAGGGCGGAGTGGCCCTGGCGGGAGCGATCCTTCTTCGCATGAGAGTGCTTTGCACGCAGAAAAACAGTTCCTGCCCGCTATAG